GGGCAGGGGAGAGGTAAGGAGGCGAGATTGGCGTAGTGGGAATCTGCTGGGGGAGGGGGAGCACATCTCATCAACAGGGGAACCTGCATAATGAACATTTGTATACCTAACCCTAAATTGAAACCCATATCTTTTTTTTAAAATTTTATTTTAGAAGGTTTATTTTTAGTCAAATGTGAGTGACCTAGGGCCATGGCAAAGTCCCAAGAGGTCTCTGAGAATATGTGCCCAAAATGGTGGAATTGCAGCTCGGTTTTATACATTTTTAGGGAGACAGAAACTACAGGCAAAACATATATCAACACATGTGAGGGTTTACGTTAGTTGGGACCAGGGAGCTTATAAGTCATAGGTAGATTCAAAGATTTTCTGATTGACAATTGGTAGAAAGAATTAAGCTCTCTCTAAAGAATTTGAAATCAGTAAAAGAAATGTTGAATCGCCGAACCCAGTGGCTCACACCTGTAATCCCAGCACCCTGGGAAGCTGAGGAGAGAGGACTGCCCAAGCCCAGGGGTTGGAGACCAGCCTGGGCAACTTGGTGAGACCTCGTCTCCACAATAAATCAAGGAAAAAAACCAGCCGAGCGTGTTGGCACACGCCTATAATTCCAGCTACTTGGAAGACTGAGGCGGAAGGACCACCAGAGTCCAGCAGGTCAAGATTGCAGTGGCCGTGAGCATGCCACTGCACTCCAGCCTGGGAGACAGAGCTAGACCCCAACTCAAAAAAAAAAAAAGAGAAAGAAATTTTAAGTTAAGATAAGGGAAGTTATGGAAGCCAAGCTTCTTGTTATGTAGATGAAGGTTCTGAGTAGCAAGTTTCAGAGATAATAGGTGGTGTCTTAAAGGTGTTCTCTATAGATGTAAATTTTTCCAAGAGTCAGCTTTGCAGGGTCACTTCAAAATATGTCAAAGAAACATATTTGGGGAACTGAGCTGACATGCATGGCCAGTGGCTGGTGGCCATTTCCCCAGTCAGATCAGGAAGAACCCCATCCAAATCCTGTGTCCAAGCAGGGCAGAACCCATTCCCTCCTCCGTAGCAGAGAACTTTGTTTGTTTAGAGTTGGGGTCTCACTCTGTCACCCAGGCTGGAGCACAGTGGTGTGGTCCTGACTCATTGCGGCCTCAACCTCCTGGCCACCATACCTGACTAATCTTTTGATTTTTTTGTAGAGACGAGGTTTATCTTGGTTCCTGTTAATTTTTGCCATCCAATTTCTGATATTTGCAGCTGTCTTCTGGTTTGGGTTGTTCTAGGGAACTGTCATTGTTTGTGCTCTAATGGCTGCTTTTTGGGGGCGCTCTTTAGCACTCTGAGGGCTACCTGTATTTTTATTGTTTTTTTTCCTCATTTGTGACAGGCCTCTCTTCACTCTCTATGATTTCTTTTTTGATTTGGTGCTCTGACGCTGCTTAATTAATTCTAGGATCTTAATTCTAGGATCCTTTCTGTGGTTATATATATGTCAGTGAGAGAGGGAGAGGCATTCACTTCTGCTCCTTGCTCTGACTTGTGGCAGGTTTCTGTCACTGCAGAATTTCTCTCCTGCTCCTAATCTAATAACACCAGCTTTCAATCCCTGTTACTAGCACTCTGCAGGCAGATGGGTCTCTCATCTGCTGTCTGCAGTCTGCAGCCCAGGAGCCTTCCACTGAGAGAGCCCTTGGGTGTCTTTCATGTTGCTCCCTCCTTGTTCAGGTCTGCACTCTGCTTCTGATATACAGCAAGGTCTGGCTGGGTGTGGTGGCTCACACCTGTAGTCTCAACACTTTGGGAGGCTGGGGCAGGAGGAATGCTTGAGCCCGGGAGTTCAGGACCAACCTGAACCCCATATCGCTAAAATAAAAAAATTAAAAGAAAACATAAAAGTACATATTTGTGACCTTGGATTAGGCAAGAACCACTTAAAAGCACAAGCAATCAAAGAAAAAATAGAGGAATTGAATGTAAAAATTAAAAACATTTGTGCTTCAAAGAATACTGTTAAAAAACTGAATCGATATCCCCAAGATTGAGCGAAAATATTTGGAATCATGACAAAGGACTTGTGTCAGGAATATATAAAGACCTCATACAACCCAACAAAAAAAGACAAACAACCCAATTTTAAAATGAGCAAATTTTTCAAAACAAAATATACAAATGACCAAGAAGCACAAGAAAAGATGCTCAACATAGTCATTAGCAAAAATGCAAATCAAAAACACGAGATACTACTTTGCATCCACTAGGATGGCCATAAACTAAAGATTAAAAATAACAAGCGTTGATAAAGATGTGAAGAAACTGGAACCCCTACAAAGCTAATGGGAATGTAAAGTTGTGGCTCTACTTTGGGAAATAAATTAGCTTTTTCAAAGTGTTACCTAGCAATTACACTCCTGAGTATATGCCCAAGAAACTGAAACTATATGCCCACATAAAGCTTGCAAAAATATATTCAGAGAAGCATTATTCATAAGAGTGGAAATGTAAAAAAAAAAAAAAACACCTTAATATCTACTAACTGATAAATGAACAAATAAAATGCAGGATATACACATAATGGGATATTATTTGGCCATCAAAAGGAATGAAGTACCAATAACATGCTTCAACATGAATGAACCCTAAAAACATGTTAAATAAAAGAAGCCAGGCACAAATGGCCATATATTGTATGATTTCATTTATATAAAGTGTTCAGAATAGGCAAATCCATACAGACAGAAAGTATATTAGTGGTTACTAGGGGCTGGGGGAGAGGAAATGGGGAGTAGCTGCTAATAGGTACAGGTTTGAGGGGAAAGGTAAATGAACATGTTCTTGAATTAGACAGTGGTAGTGTTTGCACACTTTGAGAATATACTCAAAACTATTTAGTTGTATACTCCAAAAGAGCGAATTTTATTTTAGAATTATACTCAATAAAGTCATTATAAAAAGATGCAGGGCAGAAGTAATAACGTTCTGGTAAAAATAATTACTGCCGACTTGCACAAAAAGTTCTTAACTATGTTAAAATAAAGGGATCATAATTTTATTTTTGTTTTGTGTAACATCAGTTAAGTCAAATGTCTTTAATAAAACCATCCCTACATTTTTTAGTTTGGTATAAAGAACATAGCAACTTAACCTGGGCTACCCTCGTCTCTCTCATAGCTCCTAAAGCTTGCAGAGTGTTCAAGATGAAAATACTAAATTGAGGAGATCACCTAACTTCATAGATCAAGTAACTGAAAGACAAATAGCTCCATCTAAGAGAGTTCTGTTCCTTACTTATTGTGATCATTTCCTCCCCAGGAGCCGTTTTCCTGCAGATCATTTCTGAATCTTCCCCTTAACATGTACTTATCCATGCTGTTGGCATAGGAATTACTACCCAGTGGGATTATTCTGTATAAATATCTTTACTGTAACAGGTCATCATGATTAAGGGTGGGAACAGTATTTCTTAAATGTCAAAAATGGTGTCTGGTTTCAGTATTCCTTAACATTTTCATAACCCAATCATTGCTTCTGGGGAGATTCCTGTTCTAATAACTTTTGCCAATCAAGACTGCATAAATAACCAATCGCTTCATTATTCTCATTATTAACCTTTAACAAAAAAAAGGAGCTGGAGATAGCTGATAGAAGATGAGCTGGTTCACAGGGAAAAACAGGTTACTAAGCTTAGAGAATACATTAATTAGAAGAGCTTGTCGAATACTTGGCTTCTTAAAAAACAACAACAGCAATAGTCTGAATGGTGATCTAAATAAGCTAATCGGTTTTCAGAGTCAATCTGTGATAGAGCAGGCTGGTTTTACATTTCCATGCTTTTTGTCAGCAAGCTCCAGAAGACGGAATGATTTGTGGTGGTCTCAGGAGTCTCTGCCAGCTATTATGTATATAAAAAGAATTTTTTATTCTAGCTGTTACCATAGGCAGTAATTTTTATAGTAGGTGAACATATTAGCCTGGTCACAGAATATGAATTTTACTCTGGAAAAATCAAGCACAATTATATAGTCTAGGAGTTAAATGTCAGCATTTGAGACAAATTAAAGGCAAATTCATTTAAACACATGCTATGTGGCAGAATATAAAAACAGGTAGTCCTACCTTTATCAATTTTTAATGTCTTTCTTGGTATACCAGATTCGAAATACTCCCCTTGTCTTTCCTCCCTAGCACAGTGAGACTTCAGCCCTCCATCTGGAGAGAAAGATTTATAGCAGGAAAATGTGAGTAA